TTAATCAATACTGGATGTCAAGGGGTATGAAAAATCTATAATGATTTTCATATTAAAATTCTCCCTATATGAGACAGAGATTGTCATATGGGCATTAGAAAAAAATAGTAATAATTCCCAAGCTGCCTTTTATAATTTCTGTTTGAAATTCTTGTAACCCTTTGTTACAGGTATAAAAGATATTACCTTGTTGTGCTTCCCTTAATAAAGTATAGGTTTTGGAAATAAATACCCTGGGCTACTGACCTTTTTATATTCTTAGAAAATAAAATTCCCATGTTGCAGAAAGACAACTGTGCAACTAAGCAGCTGCTTTTTGAATTGCTAACAATGAGCTATGGAATAATGCAGAAGGGAAGAGTGAGCCTTGGTTCACAACTCCCTTTTCCAATTGTAGATTTTTGTATTTAACTCTGTGGCAGTGGCTATTTGAAAAGAATGGGCCACAAATGATTGAGCAAGATAAACTCTGATGAAGAGTAAGAAGTTTTGAAATGTGAAATTAAGATATCATGATTTAAAAAAATACAGAAATAGGTACCTTGGAACAGGCTCCTTAACACATAGCCTGATTTTTAAAATTACTGACTTCATTTTACTAAACTTTATAGGACCTCAGCAATTCTGAAAATGAGAGCATTCATTTAAGCTCCTATATTTAGGCCTAAGAGCCTGTATTAAGCATCCATGCTTGAAAATCTTGGCCAGAATATCTTTTCATTCACTTTTGTGGAAACCAATCTAGGAAAACAAGTCTGTGCTCTTTGCGTATGGTTTACTTAGTCAGATAGTGTTCTGATCTTAAAATGAGTGGAAATAATTTAATATATGAAGATTTGCAATTTTCTAAATAGGGTGGTTAAAACCTTGAGTTTCCGCTGCATGGGAAATACCCATATTTTGGGACAGCTTTCTTCTGCATTAAGACATTAGTATGTCAGCATTTTCCCTGTAGCAGCAACTATGAGAAGTTGTAGTTGATAAAAATTCAGATGTTCAAAATCTTTGAGGTAAATAAAAATGAAGTGATTTCTTGACCTTGAGAGAAATTCTCTGGCTGTTTTAATACCTGCTTCTATAGTGAGGAATCTGGAGGATCTCAGGCTCAGAGTTCAAGGGCTGTCTGTTCAGAACACTAGAAACCTTGACTTCCAAACATAAAGATTCACATGAGTACTTGGAGTTTTCCAAAACCTATTAATCTTGTAATACAAGTTTATAAAAATTGTCATCTATTGACCTATATTACTCCATAGTTGCATATACTGTCACCATGTATGGTGTAGTGCTTTCTAGCAGTACAAGATATAACCAACCAGTATTGTATGTGGTTCTTCCACTCTTTTGACATGCCCAGTGGAAAATTAGTTATATGGGATAACTTATGTGTTAAAAATAAACACAACACACAGCTGTGCTTTGAATTGTTTAGAGAAGTTGAAGTCAAAGGAAGTACATCTCACATTTGGAATGAGAAAAGAAGAGGTTTGCATTCGTTGTCACTTTCTCTGAGACTTGATTCCAGGTTCCATTCAACCCAAGAAAGATGTCCTGCACTGAAGTTCTGAGGCTCAGAGAATTGGAAAGAACCTGTTTTGTCATCTCATTTACTTCCCTGCTATTGCAGGAAACCACAGCATTGAAATTCTTTTCATAACTTGATCTACCTTCACACCAAAAGGAAGCTGGGCTTTTCTTTAACCTGAGCACCATATTTTTCCAGTTTCATGCCATTTAACTTCCACTAGCAAACTCCAGTGTCTTCAGTTGCTCCTTAAGGCCTTCAAAGGCCATGCCACCCTTCCTTGTTACTCAAGAGAATGACTCTCAAAGTGTCTGGAAGACTTTTTAACCTGTAACTGCTAAATGTCTGTGAAGGATAGCTCTCCATGTGACTCTCCCTTATCTTATGACAGGAACAACACAGTTTGATTTCAGTTTTATAAATTTCATACCCCAAAATGTCTCTGAATGGAATAGCTTTCACTGACATCAAATAGTACAGCAAAACATCTATATCTAATGAAATATAGCTTTCTGTGGAATCCTTCACAATACTCTGATAGTCACCACTAATTCTTACAACCAGTGATTCAATCATATTGCCAAATAATTACATCCCTTTCTCATCTCTCCCGAGAAAGTTTCCTCATCTTACAGAATCTCCTCTGTATCTTTAACAATGGATTCTTGTTGATCTTTAACCTTCTGAACTTGTTTCATAAATACTTTGAAGCAGTCCAAACCTTTTAGGACTTGTATGTTGCAGACACCAGAAGCAGTAAAAAGTGTCCTCTGTGTTTATGCTAGTACCTTCAGAAGGTCTTCCAGGTTTGTGTCCGTGCTCTATTGTCTTCTAGCACCATGCTAAACCTCACATTTCACATAACTAATGGCTTGTCTGGAGTAAAATTTTCTGTGACCAATGCACATTTAGATGTAGATGTCAGCAGGTCACTATTCCTTTTTAGGGATATCTTTTTGTAAGTGATAATCTTCTGCTTTGCCTCTGTCACAGACTTTCCTTCCAGCTAAATCTTTACCATGAGGCTAACAACTTGAAAGAGATTTCTGTGTAGGAGTACAACTATTCCTTTTTCCCAGTAAACTAAAGAAGATGTCACCCAGTTGTTCCCATTTAAGTTTCATACACTTTGGGTCATGCAAATAAATATTAAACTGCTACTGAACATCCGAGTGGTTTGTATCAGATTTTTTTTTCAACTACTATGTTTCATCTTCAAATATTTTGTATAAATTCTAATTAACTAAATGATGGTTTGAAAGAAGATGTAGCTTTTTTGTCTTTAACTGATGTTTTACTCTTCTTATTCTACTTTGCAATATATAGATAAATGACCTTGGGAGAAAAAGGAAAAGAAATTACTAAAGAACACCAGCTTGGAAACAGTCCTACCAGATACCAGACTTAGCAACAGTTCCTGTGTGGAATGTGTATATTGACATTCAACACCTTGCCTTGTGATACTGCTTTGCCTTTATCCAAAGCCACTGGTGGTGTGCTTTGTTTTTTTCGGCCTTTTCTTTACTAATGAAATGTATTTCCTGATCACTGCTATTTCTCTATTTTTTCTTGGCAAGGTGCCTGGTTACTGCGGAATCTGCATGAGCCAGGATGTCCTCTTCTTCTCTCCTGCTGGGCTGGAAGGAGATATAATTGCTGTGATCCTTTTAGCTTGGTAATGGGACACTCGGCAGCTGGCAGCCTGCATTTCTCCCTCTCCTCACTCCAGGGCAAGCTGGAGATTGAAAGACCTTTGTGTTTTTGGAAGGCATGTTGTAGCTTTGTGTTTTGGATAGTGTTAGAGGTAGACCAGCTGTGGGCTTATCCCACCATCATGATTATCTCACATATAAGGCTTCTAATCAGCCCTTTCCTGCTTTTCCTGTGAGCATATAACTTGATCCACAGCGCCTTTGAAGCCAGCACAACAATTTCACTGTCATTGCTGGGTATTGAGTTGGATCTCAAGTGCAGCATTTCTAATACTGCAAAATCTATCCATACGTTGCTTCTCACAGCAGTCTCCTGTTTCTGCTGAGGTGTGTCATGATACTATGAACCATTAGATGTATTTTTACATTTTTCTGTGAACATTGTTCAGTGAGAAACAGTATTACTCATCAAATCAAGAAGAGAAGCATTAAAGAGAAAGGCACATATTGTTCATTAATGCAGGAAATGGAGTAAGAAATTGCCTTCATCTTTCGGGTTAGGCCCTGAACTAACATAGATTTCCTCAGTTCTTGTTCACACAGAAGAATGTAGTAGCATCATTCATCTTCCACTTTAGCCAGCATCTGAAGTGAAATGTTTCTGGTTTTATATGAAAAATGCCCATTTACAAGTACACCCATTTACCTTTATAAATTTCACAGAAATGGGATTCCTCTGTTTTACTCTAGGGACAGAAGAAAGGTGGAGCCAATGCTAAAGTCTAAATGAGCCATCTGGCTTCTTAGTTGCTTTTGCAAACTCCTTGTCTGCTGACAGGAAAGCTGCTAAACTAGGGATAAACATGGAAGACTACGAATCATTACTAACTTGCACTGACAGGTTTTCATGCTCCTACAATAGAAGCTGAGTAAAGATCGGACTACTGCTTGCCATGCCCCATACTGAGAAACAAGTAAAAGTGATTTAAATATGGTATTTGTAATGTCCAAGTTCACATTACTGTAGAAAAATCTATATACTTTGTCCAACCTTGCCACTTTTGCTTATACTGGCTTTGTTCATCTTAGTTTGCAGCTTTTCATTTAGCCAAACTACAGAGGTGAACCTAAATCTGGTGTTTTGAAGTGAATTTTTTTATTTCTTCTTGCTTTTCTTCAGCTGTCCCTCCCTCTTAGGAACAAAGATGTGGTTAGATTTGCAATCTTACATTCCAATTCACTATGCTAGTAGCTAGAAGGCACTCAACATGAAGCATATAATTTTGGGTTCCCATAGGACAGCTGATGATACCCCAAGTTTGCTTTGTAGAAAAGATGCATGTAAACTCAATGGCTCTGGAATTTCACCTCATTCAGCTGATTATTTTTTAACCTTTCCTTCCACCCCCACTTCTCTACAGACCACTGTTCTTACCACAAAGATAAAGTACCAGGTTGACCTAGAAAGTGAAAGCAATTGCTTTCACAGTTCACGTCCCCAAAGGGATTAACTTGGCCTTCTTTTAAGGAGCGGGTAGAAGGGACCAGATCCTTAGCTGTTATAAATCTTCAGTTTCCACTGAAGTCAAAGTAACTGTATTTATTTACAACCATCCAGAAACAGATCTGGTATTTCTATTGTGTTTATTCAAATTGTCAGTGTTTCAGCATTTTGGCCACAGAGCAGGACTCCACTGAACATGCTTTATGCTTCACCTTGAGACCTGAGCCGTAGATAAAGCTTTGCACATTCTGATGTTGCCCTTTTACAACAGTAATTAGAAACCTTGGCACTAATGCATTTCTCTCCCTTTTCATACAAGGCGAAACCCACTCCACTTCCACCTCATCGCAGACGCAATTGCCAAACAGATCCTGGCAACTCTGTTCCAGACATGGATGGTCCCTGCTGTGCGCATAGACTTCTATGATGCAGATGAGCTCAAGGTAAATAAAGACAAACACAAATGTTACTCATCCACTTCTGGTTTCATGCCATCCCTTTTTTATGTGTCTCTCCACATTGGTGACTTGTGGGAGAATTGCTATCTAAAATATTTTCCCTGGTTTAAACTACTTCTAACCCTTGTGATTGTAACCCCAGTTACGCTTAACGAGAAGATACTAAATGGCTAAAATGAGTCTGGTTTCTCTTCTACTGGAATAGTATCTTGTTCAATAAGCCCAGATTTGTTACTGAAAACCCTCAACTTCCCTGCATTCCTTAAGCATGGGTTTGTAACACTGTAAGTAAACATACCCTGATAAGGTATTAATATTACATTTTGAAATAGCTACCTTTTTTATCTGGATGCCCTTTCAAAAGGAATGAAGAAAGGAGAGTTCCAAGGGGAAAAAACCACCTTATTCAAAGCATAACATAATTATCTTTTTGTAGTTAGAAAGTTTAAATTAGATCATGAAGGCACAGCATTGAGTTGGAGCTGCACGTTTTTAGCTGTGGAGGTAGAATGAAGTATTCAGATTTTGGCATTTGGAGTTGGTATTAATTTGTATGACTTACATCAGACTGTTCTGAACAGCACTCTCAAACAAGGAAAAAACAAAATTTAGCAACTTGCTATGCTAATTAAAGAGTAAATTAAAAGCACACCATGTTGCAGAATCTTTAGTACAAAAAGTTGCAATGGGAAAAAGGGAAAAAATAATCCTTGAGAAAAGTATTTTGTTCCTAGCTGGTTTTATTGTTTTATTGATCCTTTTACATGAAGGCATAGCCTGATATGAACCTAATTAGCTAGAGATCTCCCTTCTGTTCTTTATAGCTTTATAGCAAGGAAGAAGTTTGTTCTTGAGAATCTTGTTCATTTCTCTATTACATGTGCTTTTCTGAAAATTGTATGGTTTTACAGTGTTTAATTAGCACCTCAGCTGGGCAAGATGGACCTCACAGTGTTTTCCTTCTGGTCACTGGAGTATGGTCCAATCTAGTTAACAAAAGAATAATGAAGACAGCTTGCTTCAGTGATCCTCAACGTGCTGATTTATAGGCAAAACACTGTGCAGGGATGAGGCTATAGAGCAATGTTAGTTTTTTCCCTCCATCTTCACTCAACTTTAATTTTTATATAGCTTGTGACCTAAAGCAACACTGGAATGTCTTGCGTGTAACATAGGCTTTATGTTGGGGATCACAATCTTACTGGATGCAGGTATTGATACATAAATACATCTTTTCAGGTCTGCTGCTCTTGCTTGGAGCTCATCATACTGCATACCAAGCAATTTCTGTGCTTGTAGCCAAAAACCACAATATAAAGTAGTAGTCAGCATACCTGAATGTGACAGACACTGCCAAAGGACAGCAAAGAGTTGTAAATATAAATGGGAGTTTTAAAAAGCCAAGTATGATGCTGACTTATATCTAGATTATCTTGCAAGTTTTAGCAAAGATGACAGAGGAGCTGTTTACAGTCAGCTGTAGGAGCAAATCTCATTTGTTTCCTACATAGCCTCTAGAGAGGATTTAATGATTGTTTTGGGTTCATGTATTTCACCTGTACCCTTGGGAGCTATATTATGCTGTCCGGTGTTAGGAAAACAGAGCTGATGCTGAAATGTTTACTAGAAAGTCTACCTTTCTCTGAAGTGATCTATGAATCTGGTGTTACAGTATATACTCTGTTTCAGTTTTAATGACCCTTCATAGTTCTTTTTTTAAACTTTTTTTGTAATCAATACCAATTGCTGACAGTTAAAAGAGTTTAGACTGAACAATAGCTTGAGAATTTTCTGCTTAGCTTTCATTCACTGATCTTTCTTTTTTGTTGTTGTTGTTTTTGTTTTCTAATACATTTTAACTGCTACAGAAAACATTTCATTTCATGTTTGTTTTTTTCCCTTTGGATAAGTATGAGCTTTCAACCTCTTAAATCTAATGCAGCATGAACTGACATATTAACTTAAGCCCTGGGAAAACTCCTGCTCATGCTCCTGTTACTGCTCAAACCATGGAAGGGAGCATATAATGTTAGATCCTCCATAAACACTATGGATGCTTTTTTGTTTTCAAGTAGTTATTTAGAATGCAGGGAGCACTTTCCTCTAGAATATTAATTTTTTAAGAGGCAGAATTTGGAGATTAAAATATTTGGCAATGTTACTTAGCACATCCTACAGTTCTTAAAAGTTGTGCTCTTTAGCTTAGAGTTCAAGCAACCATTGTAGAAAGGTGTAGAAAATAAGGCTCTGCAGGAGGTGTTGTTTTCTCTCACATTTTGGAGGAATGCATGCTTCATTGCAGGGAAGGGAAGACAAGCTCCCACATTATCCCAGAATTTCCAGGCCCAGCAAACCTCTATATCTACTTCATCTGCTGCTGTGAATTAAGTTTGCCAGATGTTCCTTTTAAAATTTAGAGAAGACTTTTCCTTTTGCAAGGTCACACAGCTGTTCATGTTCATTCTGCACCAAAAAGAGCCTACGTTCTATCCCTTGAGTTGAGTGCTGCCAAACTCACACTAGTCTGGCTGGAAAAGGGATAGAGCATGGGAGAGGATGGCCAGGGAGAGGTCTATCTTTGAAGCATATGATAGGGGCTGGGGCAGAAGAGGAGGGTACTTGGCCGTGGAGCTGAGCCAAGATAACGGTATTTCCAGGAAGAGGGCCAGACACAGTTGAGATGGGAGTTTGCAGGATATTTTTGTTTTAAACAGCTACTTTGGTGTTTGTAACAGCCAGTTCTACTATGAAGCTTGTTACCTCCTCCAACATGACTTAGACTGTCTCCTCGTTGCCTTGCCAATAATCACATGGAAGATCTGTGCTTAAAAGCTCTCTCTCAACTTAGAAACTGTTCAGATTGTGAACTGTACTGCCAGTGCAATTCTCCCCCATTAACTAAACTTGCTGCATTTAGTAAGTGGTCAGTAACAAGCATCCTTGAAGTGTGGGCAGCTGGTAATGGTGCCAGTAATTGAGTCGTTCCATAGCTGCAGACTTCATTCTTGCTCTGCTCAATATGGCCCACACATAAATCTTCCAAATTTATGTGGTCACATATGGCTGTAAACTACAAATTGGAAAGTTACTTGGCAATGTAGATTCACTTTATACGATCACATTAGCTGTGTTGTTCAGCTTTGCAATAAATGTAGCTGTTACAGCGATGCATCCCACAAGATAACTGGAAACTGAAAATTGTCTGCTTGGAACATTAAATAAAAGAAAAAACCCCATACCTATGAAGCGTTGATCTAAAAGACCCATTACAGCTGTGGCTTGCAAATACCAGACTGTAGGATATTGTGCGTTTTTTCACTTCAGTCTTACATGAAGAAACTCCAGAGCTAGCTATTGAAGATGTGCAACGTGAGCTCTTAGCTTCTACACTTCATTATTCAACATGGAATCTCATGTCAGTTCACTCACAAGGAGGTATAGGCATTAAATCCATGGTGATCTGCATTGGCACAGAGCAGAAAGGGCAGCTGAAAAAGCAGTACTATATGTATGGTGTAAGGAATATAGATGAGGCAAGTTTGCTTTCCTAGATGTTGCCTGACAGACTGCTGACAACATCAGGTGAACTTAGGGAAGCAGAAGGTAGAAAAGTAGAATGAGCCGTTGCCTGCTCTGCTGTGTGTGAATCTTGATGACCCAGATAAGTGTAGTCTTGTCATCACTGGTAAAGCAGAAAAGCCACGTTCTTTAAATAGTTCATCCCACAAACGTGCTGCAATTGTTCTGTAAATTTGAAGGTAGGGGTGGTGAATAGGTTTTTGCAATAGATGAGCATTTGACCTGAAAGTAAAGTGTGAAAAGCTCCATACTTTGCTGCCTATTTGGAGAATAGTCCAAATTTAATGTTTCCAGAAACAGTAGACCACAAATCTCACTGCCAGTGCTGCCTGAGGTGATTTCTTATCAGAAATGTTCATGTAGCCTGCACGCTTGGTTAAAAATCAGTGGTGTGGTCCAGAGAGCAAAGCCAAGCTGGAATAATATGTGGCATAAATATCACCTGTGAGTCACACCTAAGCCACTTTCCTCTGAACTGTGAAAGCAGTTCACTAGGTCAGGTGTTGACACAGTTTGGCCAAATAAATGGCCAAGGGCTATGAGATTTAAGTAGGAAAATCAAGTTTGATTTTTTAATTATCATTGTAGTGTAGGTGGCTCTTAGGGCTGTGCCTGTGTGCACTCCCAATGCACTTACATTACTGATTCCCAGCGTGGTCCAGGAACTCCCAGGCTAGTCATCTGCACAGATGAGATAAAAGGCTGGTTTGAGATAGCAGACCAAGTTGAAACTAGGTGATTGACTGAGCTCCTGACCATCTGCAGAAGAAGTATTTGACAGATTGTTACAGGAGCTCTCCCAGTGGGAATTTCAGGCAGCTCTTGAGATTTTGTAGGCAGTCCCTGCTGTGCCTAGGCCAATTTGTATGCTTCAATGTGTTGATTAACTTCCTGGGTAGGGAATCAGATTGTCCCAGAGATTCCCAGACAGTTCTGGCTGCAAAATTAATCAACTGTGCAATGGTAAGACAATTAATAGAAACAGTTCCTACATGTGTATAAACTATCAATAGGACAGTCTTTTGTACATACTTAAGATAGTTAAAAATTTTTTGTATGTAGGGTAAGGTAATCTGTAGTGATGCATGTTCTGCAGTGGTCATGTAGGACCACAGGCCAACTGGATTATAAACATTGGACAGAACTGTGTTTTAGGGAGTCTCATCCAATCCAACTAAGATGCCCCTGCAAGGACCCTTACTGTGGAGACTCCCTTCACCCTCCAGACAGCAACCAAGTGTCCTGTTTGACAAATTATATTGTCCATGCAAATGCCAATATCCCAAGAATGTTAGCTTTTCTAACGTATACTGTGTTTGTGTCTGTGCAACATATGACAGCAAAAGCAAATCAAATGCCATTAATTTTTTTTGCTACCAGCAGAAGCTTTTCCAAGGAATGATCGC